AACACAGTACCAGCTCTGTACCTCACCCAACACAAAGTCTAAAGATAAAAACAGAATCAAAAAGAGAAAAATGAATTTCAGTTCTCTTCACAAGCAATTCAAATGCATTTTACAGACTGAGATTTATGGTTCTTCCTTTACTCTTGTACATTTCAGGGCCAACTTTCATGTTCCATTTTCGACATCCCAGATAAAATATTGAGATATGTATGGCATTTGGATATAAGAGTTTATGAGTAAAGACTTTGTACAAAAGAAGCAAATTGAAAATCAGCCTTCTCATATGGTGTGGAAGAGAGGAACAATAGGGAAAACATCCGAGGAAAGAGAGGTCTTGTTCTTCTCTGCACTGGGTCTCCCAGGAGTGTGCTGATTTCAAACTTTGCACCAGCATTCTCGCTTGCAATGCAACCTGCATTTAGAAAATTTGTTTTGTTTAATACCAGTGAGGAGCTGACACAAATCATTCTTCGGGGGTGTTTTATTCTTTTTATTTTGTTTTGTTTTGTTGTGGTCTTTCCTGATGCCAAGTTTGCAGATCAACATGGTGTTAGAATGCTGGGAAGGGAGGTCATCCAGGAAATAAATGGCTGGATTCATAAATCAAGACTGCAAAAAGGACACTCAGTTAGCACCAATCTCTTATCTCAGTCAGGAGGCTTTGAAGAGAAAGCATCTTAATGCACTAAGACCAAACCAAAGTCTACCCTAAAAACAACCTTGCTGGTCCCTCCCTGGTGGCGCAGTGGGTTAAAGCATAGCACTAAGAAGCTAAAGCCACTTTCGCATGAGTTCAATTCCCACCTGCCCTGGAGGTGACCACATGGCAAGGCAGACCTCTCCTGACCCGCCCCACTGCTCCCCTCAGCAGTGTCCTTCGCAGATCTGCCTGTTCTGCTCCCCACTCTGTCTCTGGTGAAGCTTCTCGCCGCCCCTGAGCCTCTGGACTGTATCCCAGTTCTGTATGCACAAATAAATAAATCTTAAAAAAAAAAAAAAAAAACAACCTTGCCAATGCTAATGCCTCAAATGTTCCACCCTCAAATGTTGCTATGGACCATGAAGTGCAATCTTATTGTCTAAAGAGTAAAGCGTATAGTTTTAGTTAACTGAGGCAGCAAAGTCTCATTATCCTGTATTAAGGACAAAGGAAATCAAAACGTACTCAGGTTGTAGCTAGTGCTCACAAAGCTATCAACTGGATTTCATAGGAAACATTGATTTGAGCTCTGAATCTTCTCAGTTTGGCTACCACACAAGATTGAGGTCAGTACCTTCTATGTTGGAATCCTTTGACAGTTTCAATACTTGTAGCTAGGAAATGCACAAGAAGTAACTTTTAACAAATTATACCTGAGAACTATTATTGAATGACTATGTTTAAAAAGATGGAAATCAGTCAATTTTATCGATAACACTCTTAAAATTACAGTAAATATAACCAGGTAAAGTATTATAGAAAGGTTTCACTACAATAAAATTACTCCATAGCATTTTCAAACACAAATGACACATTTTCAATTATTTCTTCACTAAACATATTCTTCAAGATTTGTGATGTTATTCATTGGAATTAGTGTTAAACCTTCTAAATATGTCCCAAAGAATAATTCATTAGAAGTGGCACTTTACCCTCAGTACTGGATTTTAGTTAATGAGTCTGACCTTTCACCTGCTTAACAGTACTTTCAGTTGAGTAAAATAACCCACATTAGTGCTGACATCACTCCACATATGTGTTTACATCTAAAATACAATCAAATGTGCTATATAAAAAGTTGTTCTCACGAGGGTCAAAATCACTGAGCCTATACTGTCCATCTTTGGCTTGAAAAATGTAGACTAATATATGCTTTCAATGCAAAATTCTTTGAAGATATTTTGGTGAAATATTCTCCTAGTGGTACTATGTTTGAGATACTTGTTTTTAAAGTGCCTCAAGGGAAGGTTACTAACTGGGTACTCAAGAGATTCCAGTAACACAAATAGAAGTTTTGTTTCCAGTTCATAGTTGGAGGATGAGAAGAGCAGAGTCAACTTCCAAGACTTTCTTCTCCCTCTGCCTTTCCAGTTCTAGCTTTTTTTGTCTTTGATGCTACAGAAAATTAGATACAGCCCTCTAAACTGGCCTTCCCCAGAACAAAAAACAGTTTCTGCTCTCAAATATCCTGTTGTCCATTAACAAGTGTGTTTATTCTGGGGTGAACCAGCCTCTAGCTCTACTCCAAAGAGCTGTGTTGCCTTTACAGGCAAGATCCCTATGATAAAACTAAGACAAACATAAAGATATTCATTCTGTAAGCCTTGAGATGTTCAAGACCACATTTCCTAACCTTTAAAGAATTTGAAGTCAATCTCAAAAAGAACACCATTTTTAAGAGTCCTCAGGTGCTACAACACTTCCATGACTTTTGTTTTAAAAAAGGAAAAATCTACTGGAGGATGAAGGTAAGAGATGGGAACAAGGGGAATTTCTCTCCTGGGAACTTTAGCAATATTATCAAAAGAAGTGAAAAATATAAATACAGATATTCAGGCCATTCTTCTAACCACAGTAAAAGTGCTGATAAATGCCTCAAATGAAATCTTTATTTCCTTTTGCTAATCATCCTGCAATCTTGGACAAATGATAATTTTTATTAAATTATCATTTTATTTAAATAGGGTGTGTGGTAAAATTAACTTTTATGCAAACTACATAATCTTCCTTTCATTAAAATTTCCCTCGTTGATCTATGCAAACCAGGTCAGTTTCTGCTATATTTGCATACTTGCATTCTATCCCTTAATTTACCTCCTTCTGAAGGTTTTTTTAAAAGAGTGAAGGCTGGATGAATACACATAATAGAATACTGCTTATATGTCTATGTGAACACTAATACCATTTACAGGTTTCCCCTCCCCCTTTTCCTTGGGGCTGAGAACCCTATCAATAATCATTACTTATTAAACAGGCTGCCATTCCCTTCTACAGAATGTAGGAAGGGAGCGAAGAGGGGGTAGAAATAATTACCTTGGGCTTTTCTTTAAAGACCTCCGGAATGGAACACAAGAAAATCAATTGAGAAGGAACATGACATACCCCCCACACACACACATGTAGCCACACACACACACAAGGTTGGGAAGTACACCCACACTCCATTATTCATATCAACTGCATCAAAAGAAAAGAAAAATCTGGGGTCTTCAGCATAGACACATACATTTCCAATCCATCAACCGTGTTCACACATATACTTGCAATGTACATCCTTTATCCCTCCACAAAACCAAAGCTAGATCTGTTGAAAGAATCCTCAAAACACCTCCTGAGAAAATGTGCTCCCCAAAATGACTGCTTCAGCCAAAGAAAAGGGAAGCATCAAGTTACTGGTTTGACTGCCATTCTGGTTTGTAGCAGATCCTCTAATTCCCTTTTCTCCCTATGGCCCAGTCTATTTTTAAGTCTAAATTTTCCCCAAAGCAGAAAATGGGCACAGGCATTTCTCTCTTGAATCTTACCCACAAATACACTGAATATTTAAAAAGAAAAAAAAAGTTTCAAAGGTTAAAAGACCATCCAGGGTAAGACCACCAGTCAGGGAAATAAAAAAATTACCCGATGACTAAAAGCAATCCAGGAATTCCTACTGGAGTTAATGACAGCACTATTCCTTTCTCCCTACAGGTGATGACTCAAAACAAAATACAAGATAAAGACAGCATAACCAGACAGTTTTTAGAGAACAGCCTTGCACAGAACTTGAACTGGCAAGCTGGGAGTTTGTCCTAAATAACCTTCACAGGTTGCACAAACTGTTCCCATAGCCTGATCAATAGTCAGATTGAGAAGCTTTCTAAGATCTCCTTAGAATAAGAATAGGGTGAGGGGTGCGGTAAGGTGGGAGGTCAGCTGGTCATCAAAAGCATGTATAAAAAGAGAGAAAATATACACTCCCATACAAATGCACAGAAAGCTATCACGCTTTGGGGGAAACTGGCCAGCACTGGCAGAACTGAGCCCAGGTTGAAGATGCTACATGCAAAGGGTGTTTCAAAAGGGATGGCTATTCTCAGTCTTGAGTGCAGAAAACTCTCCCATCCTGCCTTTATTTTTTCAGGCTCAGAGGGAGGGGACATGAGGTTCACACCCCACCTCTGGGAAAGGAACAAAAGCCAAAAGCGAATGCCTGGCAGAGCTGAAAAAACTCCTCCTCCTCCAGGACCCTAGAGGTGGAAGCTCAGCAGGACTCCCTTCTTATTTCCCCAAGTTAACTCACTCTTGGCGGCCAAGGAATCAATTTCTACACCTTGGAAAGGCCATGGGCAGCTTTAGAGCACGGCCAATTTAGCCCTTCGCCATGGATCGCCTCCTTTCCTCAGCTACCCCAATGGCTTCTAATTAACCCTTCCTGGCCCCTGCCTGGGTCAGGGCTGCTGTAAGTGTCTACAGCTTCATTCTACAGCAGTTCCATGAAACCATCAGCCCCACCACCACCACCTGCCCACACGGACATAACTTCCCTTTGTGGTTTATGGTCAGTCAATTTACATGTGCTTTTCTTTCTCTCCTTCCTATGGGCGGGGAAAGGGCTCAGTGCTTTTGGGAAGGCCCTCCCTTCCCTGCCCAGCTCTCAGTAGAAGCCAGATCCTAAAGCTAGCCAGCAGTTCTGCAGTGAGGAGGGCTCACACTTGAGTTAACCCATTGAAGGGAGTTAGATGTGTTCTCATTTGGGACCCACTGAGTAGGGCCCACAGAGCTCAACAATCTCCCTCATCTTCCCACAGCCCCCACCCCACAAATGGATCCAGAACAGGCAGGCACCTTTTCCTCCCTTGTGGCCATGGACAGTGTTAAATGTCTCACACTGTGCACTGTGCTCCAAACCTGTAATGAGGTGGCGATGGAGGGGGTGGGGAAGGATGCTAGAAAACAGACGGCGAGGAGAAAAGACAGCAAGGGAGCAAAAAGGAAACTCAATAGTAAATCATCAAGCCCAACCACAGTGTTTACTTACGAAATTTGGGGCTGGTGCTAGTTTCTGGAGTGGTGGTGGTAGAGGAAGAGGAAGAGTAGGAGGAAGCAGAGGAGGAAGCATCCTGAAAGGGAGACAGGGTCCACGAAGGAGTAGAATCATGAAGGTAGGAGGAGGTAGCATATGCCGCAGTGGGCCAGGAGGGCATTGCCTCGGTACTGGGAGTTCCCGGCACTGGGGGTCGGGAGCCTGGCGTGCTGCTACTGAAGAAAGGGGCTGTGGTGGATAGGACCGTCGAGGGGGCCGCAGTGTTCCGTGCGGTGGTTGAGCGCGGGCTGGCCCGGATGGGCACCCGATGCCCAGGAAATCGAGTGGGGGCCCGCGTGATGGTGGTCAGGCGGGTGCTAATCCGGTTGGGCGTCCTGGAAGAGGCGGCACCGCCGGCCGATGGGGTAGCAGGAGACGTGGTGGAAGTGGTCGTGGTGGTGGTCTCCATGGCCTTGGGAAAGGAACTGGGCTTGGAGAGGAAGAAAGGGTCCTGGCCCATCCCCTTGGAGTCCACCAGGTCGGTGGGCACGTATTCCTTGACGGAGCCCACCACGATCCATTTGAGAAGCATGAGGCTGAGCCCCAGGCCGATGAAGCCGATGAACAGAGGCACCACGCACAACCACGTCTGCTGCCGGTTCCACACGATGCAGTCGCTACAGCGTAACTCCCGGGGGGGCTCGGCCGCCCCTTCGCCGCC